AATATTAAATCAGAAAAATGAATGGAAATCTGAATTGATTGACTTTACAACAACCATAAGTCATCCCTAACTTTGGGGAATTTTACCAATGGTTGTTTACGGCACATACGAGTTAAGTCAATTGAGTGATTGTTAGTAAGTACACTTATTAAAATGTACACCGATCAAACTAAAAGAAACAAAATATTACATAAAAGGTAGTTTGGGAGAGTATAAAACTTGAAACATTGCACACAAATGATAGTTCATGCGTTCCACAATAAAATTATCAAAACAGTGAAGAATAAAATTAAAATAAATACTAAGTTGTGCTACAGAGAATAATTCTTTTCATATCTGTACAAAGGAAACAAGTTCAATTAACACTTAAAATAAATATGTACAGCTACAATACTTATTTACTGTCCTTAGTTTCTCTTTGATACACACAGCCAAATAAGCTGCAGATGCCTATTGCTCTGAGGTTGAGGAAGCTTATATTTACTTGTTCCAAATAGAAAATAAGGGAAACAGCAAACATGATAAATAAATATGCACAACACAGATTATTAACACTACTCTATGGTAACCTTAAACTTAAGTAAATATACATATATGTTACATGTTATCAGTATTACATACTGAGTTTGTAAAGGACACTGCATTGTATAAAAAAAACACAAACATGTTTCAAATTCTGACAAAAAGGGGTGCAAAAGAACAGATCAAAAAAAAGAAAAAAAAAGAAAAAAAAGAAAAAAGAAAGAAGGCAATGATACAGATGATTTTCAGAGAAAACATATCTATATTGATGGCAATTTACAACAAAACGGGTGGAATTACAATACATTAAAGGATATACCAAGAGTTTAGATGAATGATGGTGGCTAAAATGATTTGGTTATGACTAGCATAAAAATATAATCCAAATACTTCATTTATACAGGATGTTTGTATGCCATTACAAAATAATAGTCCCTAAAAAAATCTAAATATACACAACTAACAATAATCAGTACGAAGATGGCATTCACAGATGATTCAAATCAATTATCATTTGTACTCTCAAAACAATGGATACTTGGCCATGTCAACTTCACTAAAATCCCAAATACTTAAGCTTGAAACACGTGAGGATCACATTGATCCACAAGTTAACACACAAAACTTTAAGTGAGATGAGTAATGTACAGTCCAAGGTGGCAAAAGATCATTTTTTTTTAAATAACACCTACCATACAATATACAGAAAAAAATGTAACAAGGGAACTAATGTATGTTAATAGGCTAAGCATAACCATATGCTCTCAGACGACTGACAAAACCCAGAAATCATGAAAATTCAGGTACATTTGCCATCAACAATACCTTTAACAGGTTTTGTGACGCTGATAAAGCTTGCACAGCTTAATAGAGGACATTTAAAAAAGGGGAAAGAGAAATTTAAAGCATTCCTCCATAATTTTAAAGAAGTTCCCACCAAAAGTTAAATAAAGCACTATCTAAACAAACAAACAATAAACGGGTAGAATTAACATTGAAAGTCGTTCAACAGGTAATAAAATATATAGTTACATATAAACATCTAAAAGCATGATGGCTGGGTAAAGTAAATGCGTCTGAGGCAAGTTGAGACAAAACTTACTTGATGAATGCACCAAACTAGGAAAACCAGGACAAAGGCAGTGACTGCGCAGTTCAAGGCTAACCCATTCAACCACCTAGGCTTCATATCCCCCAAAAAATAACACAGCTTGCTGATGTTCCCTACACCTTAAAATGTAATAAAGAGGAAACAGATGAAAAATGTGTACAAGTGAGCAAGCAGGTTGAAGCGCCAAGCATTACTCCCATGTTGTTAAGTCTCAACCAGGTTATAAAAGCCACTCTCATGTATTAAGTGATGATGGTTTTTTTCTTGGTCTTCTTCCACGATCCAACAGATGAGACATATCCAAAGGTTGTTTGCATTGCTGATTGGCAAGGAGTCGCAATAAGATCCCGTTTAAGTGCTTTTGTTGTTTTTCCCGCTGCAACAATAGAATGATACATCATATTTTGCAATTTGATATTTCAATACTACAGTATACAATGGATGAACTTCAAAGAAGACAAACAATGCAAGGGTAAAATCCACATTTAAAGTAAGTGATGAAACTTCAAATTGCAGCATATCAACACAACACAAAAAAAAAAAAAAAAGAGGCGGGATTAAGGGGAGATTGCATGATTTCCAGAAATTAGCATAAAATAGCATCTAGCAAAAACGACTTGAGAGCTTGAAGAAGCAAAATATACACGCAACATTAAGCAAAACACCAAAAGCAGTTTGCACATGCCTTTTCAGCTACAGCAGAATCCCTTACACGTGCAAGAGGCACTTCTTCCTCCTCTTCCGCAACAGATGATTGTGGCATTGATTTGGTAGAACTTGCATCATCCTGGTTGCATCGTACTCGAGGTTTCAAGGGTGGTACAGGGCCATGGGGCTAAAACAGAAAATAGTAATTTCATAATTTACTCCCCAAGAACTTTAAAAAAATTATAAAAATACAAATAGAAGTTAATACATACAGTGTAAGTTCTCACAGGTTTCAGCCTTGTTTCAAAAGTTTCGAATGCATAGCTCTTCAGACATAAATTTGCTCGGCTCTGAGACTTGGAGGCCTTGTAGAACAATCGAGCAGTTTTGTCCACCCGGTACTCGCATATATACACATGCTCCTCCACAGCTTCAATTGGGCGGCCTTTGCAATATGTCATGGGATCCAAAACCCAGCACCGTGCCCAAATCAAATCAAGAGATATAATCTCGTACAAAGGAACACGCATAACTTCATTAGGGTAAAATTTCCTCGTTGGTTCGTGGTAAGTTTCATGTGGTCTAAGATAATGGTGACCAAAGGCAAAACGTTCCCCTCTGCAAAGAAAATAGCACATGAGAATTTCAAGGTAGTTGTGGAGTTTATGGAGTGCAAATATAAGCGCTCAGTGAGAGTTCTTACTTATCATCTTTCCAAAGCCTTTCAATTCTGAAAATATCCATATCACCATATTTGGGATCCTTGATTGTCTTGTATGTCACCTTGGCCTGTGACTCTCCTTCTCCCTCAGTCACATCTCTCAAAACATAGACAGTATCCCCTTAAAATTAAAAAAAATCAGATAAATATACTTAGTTGCTTTTCAATGATACACAAGGAAAATGTATATTCACAAATCTAGACAGCCAACCTTGTCGGATCTGAAGATCATTTCGCAAGAGTGTAGTATATTCCTTGTCATGTCCTTCAGGTTTGTGTCCTTCAGGCTGTGGATCCATGACTATTTCAAGATCAACAGTGCGAGGTTCACAAATCTCACACAAGTATTGCCCCACAGTGTCATCACAACGAACACAATCACCATGCTGCCACACTAAACAACGCTCACACTGTATCATCATTCCTTCATCACGGTACAGCCCACAAATACACCTGATGACATCTTCTTCCTCTGCTGTAAAACGCAAGCATGAACAACAGGACTATACGATCAGAAAATGATTATAGTAATCATTAATTAGTAAATTTAAGTTCAACCTGTACTTACCTGGATTCTTCTCTGCTACAAATGATGCAGCAACAGTTTCCCCTAAAACTTCAACAAGCTGAGGGTACTTATCTTTCTTGGCATCTAAGTACACTTTCTTTAATCTCACAGATGCAATACCCAAATTGGTTGTACGCCCATAGAATCTAAGGTTGTTATTGAGAATCTTATTGATATCTTGGTCGAAAGCTGCTAGATTTGAGTAGAGACCAGAGTTGATATTTTGATCAACTGTTGAGAAATCAAGGGGTTCTCTTATCCGCACATAGTAGAGTGGAAGTTTTCGTTTATTTGGTAAGGTCATGAAAGGATTGCTAAGAGCCTCTCCATTTTCATCTGGAAGAAACATAATAATCAGTCACAAAATATTAGAGAAAATAACAATTTTTTTATTAGATTTTTTAACAGGCTCTCAAACTAGTTTATCAACTGAATGAACCTTACCTTTTGAGGATACAATCACATTGAAAAGGTCTTTTAAAACACAGGCTAATCTTGCGTTTCTAGCAAGCTCTGGATTGTCTTCTGCTTGAGCCAGGCGTCGAGTTCGTACATTTCTTGGGATGGACAGAGCATTAAGTTGAGTAAGGAACACGTCTGACTGCTTGACATTGGTAGGAACAGGCCTTGTAAACCCTTCTGGGCGCTGTGTTGACTGTCTCAATTTCTCTTTCAATCTCCGAACCTGTAGGTGATGTAGGTAAGTAAAATTTACATTAATTCTATTTGAACTAGATACTAGACAATTTTAAAAACACAAATTCACCTTTTCTAGATTTCGAAGCAAAAAGCAGTGATGCTCTATGACAAAGCTACGCTGTTGATTAGACATTTGTCGGATATTTAGAGTGAGCAACTGACTGAGACGCTGGGCCTCCATTCGCTTCCTTTGTCTCAGATTTTCTGCAGCTTGCTCCTTATCATTCTTGCGGCTTGCTTTTCTTTTGTTTTTGCGGCTTCCCTTTTTTTCGTTTAAATCTTCAACACTCACTTTGGAAGATGAACCATTTTGAGATGAGGGTAAAACATTCACTCTTTGAGATTTACCACCTATGACTCCTCTGCACTGACTTGATCCGCACTTGCATGGCTGATGGAAAAGTCAAGATTAGGGTATTTACTTAAATGTGTGAAGCTAAAATGTATCTGACCACAAAAATTGAAAGGTGTTTACTTGGCCTTCAGCAGCATTGAAGAGGGCGAAATTATAGTCATAACCAAGTTCTTCATTAGCTTCAATGTCCCGCAAGGCAAATAGAGCCATTCGGAAGAGACCACTTACACTCCATTTCTGCATTTCACAGTTAGGCTCACAAGAGTGATTAACAAATCTCCCTAAACAAAGAGATAGTTATATTATAATAGATAAGCAACTTAAAATACTACCATAGAGTACTAAAGAAAATTATTAAAATGTTGTCAGATGTCAGAACACATTCCACATACCGTCACCTCCCATCCGATGGCCATCAATTACTAGACCACCATCCAAATGCAGACAATAGTGATGAGTATCTTTGGTGTAAATTGTTGCCATTCGCTCCTTAAATTCTCTGTCAGAAACAACTTCACCCACATATTCCAAAATAAAATCGCCACTTTTAATTGGCTGCTTTGCACGAACTCCCCAACCCTGGTGCACATATAAAATTATTGCAATTGGAACCCTGAATACAGAACAGATTAGTTACTTGAGACAGAACTTACCTTTTCTTTGGTCATAAATCTTTCAAGGCCTGGAGCCCACTCATGTCTCTGGATACGTTGATTAGAGCAAACGTCTCTGAGGGGGCACAGTGCGGGAGCACATTCAGCATATACAAGCCGATTAATGCAGTCATCTCCACAACCTTTGCCTCCACCTTCTGATAATTTGCAGTTGCATGACTGTGGCTCATGCATATATGAAGGTTTAACATTGTTGTACACATCTATAAAAAGATTAAAAATTATAAGTCTTGCATGTTTTCAAACATACACAGCAAGCTGTTTCAAAATATCCTTATGTATGGCGGTGTTTTGTTAAACTACTAAACACGTACAATCTAGAAGATATTATGTCAATGAACTTACTTGTTCGGATCTTCTTGTAATTCCAAGAAGGAACAATATCACGGCCAGGCAACTTATTATGAGTATGGAGCCACCAAAGATCATAGGGAAGCTGGAAATTTACCCTTCTTTGACGTAACCACTTTCCACAATGGTATGGTGCAGGTAACAGGCCATGAGGATGATCTTCAGGTTTGTATTGCAAGCTCTTCTTGCCGTCACTTACAGAACGAGGCCTAAACATAATTGACAAGAATTTTAGGAAACTGCTGTTTAATGACGGTGCTTGACGCAATAACACTTACTCATCTAATTTGAAGTAATCTGAAAAAAGTCCTGCAGGTAAAAACTTTTTCCTCCACCTAGGTTGTTTAGCATCCTTTGCAAAGTTTTTTGTGGTTTCATCTTCAGATAGAACTTCAGCACCACCTCCGAGAGGAGGGGCTTCAGTTTCTCCATGAACACTCTCATCACTAGCAGAAAAAATACGAACACATTATATGACATCTAAGACTGTTAGAATAATGTTCAAAGTAAAACTAAAAAGTCATGGCTAGCTTACCAATCTGTTTCTAAACTGTCTGCTTCCATTCTCTGCACAGTACGCAGGCGTTTCTTGCTCCGAGCGTTGCGCAACTCAACAGATGATGGCAATTCTTCACTCTCATTTTTTCGCTTGTTTCTTGTTCGTGATTCATTATTGCCACCCTTGAGTCTTTTCCCTGTTGTGCTTCCATCTTTGTCTGATTTTATATATTTAGGTTTGACAGGTTCTTCGACAGATGTGAGAGCTGGTCTTTTCATCTCTCTTTTAAGTTTTCTGGGAGGTAGATTGGTTTCTGTTCTGGCTAAAACTTCAGACTTTTCTGATTCAGCCCTCTCCTCCAAAGTTTCCAAATGTATTAATGCTTCATCTTCTGCATGTTGTTCATGAGATTCTCCTGTCTCAATAAACTCATATGGGTCATCAGCAGATTCATCACTATCATCGGTGCTCCAGTTAGAAGGCATTAGTTTTGATTCCATCATGCTCCCACCTGGTGTATCTGGCAGTGAAATATTTTCAGAGAATTTTGCCCGCATTGCTCTTAAAACAGCTTTACTGGGCTTGCGAACCTTGTTTTGTTTAAAATCTAATCTTTTAGTAAAACCAGAAAACATATACTTCTCTTTGTTTGGAATTCTGTCAATGTAAGGCACCAGAGTTAATTCATCACCTGATTTAACTGAATTGGCCTTGCCATCAGAAGTAGGAGAGGAATCTTGGATTTTGGCTTCTACTTTAATATCATTTGCTGAACAGTCTTCTGTTTTTAATATCATAGACTGGCTGTCCTTCTTTTTCTCAGCCATCACATTGTTAATTCTTTCGCAAACTTCTTCTTTGATGGGTATAGAATTCTCTATTCTATTTGGTTTTCCAACTGAAACTTCATCACACTTTTTATTTAACAATTCCTCTTGACTAGGCATTGAGGCAATTGCATTAAGATTTGTTGTATTTCCACCACCTGACGGGATCTGCATTTCTTGTATTGAGGTATTAGAAGCTTCTGTCGAATTTTCATTCCATTTTAGCCTTTCCACTTCTGAAGAATCTTTCTTTTTCCTTTTGCGTTTCACAGGAAAACCTGTGCGGTTGCACTTTCGTCTTCTTTTTGGAGCAGCACCCACACTCTTGGGATGTTTAATTGATTTATCTTTATCCTTGAGCACATTCATGTCGCCATCACTCAGTTTTTGCGCATGTATTCTGAGTTCTTTTAATTCAATATGTGTGGCATTGTCACTTTTGTCATCTTCTAATTTTACTTCTGCTTCAGGCACAGGAATGTCAATTAAAGAATCGTTTTTCTTTGGAACATCAACCTGTTTTGTTTTAGATTTGGACTTTGCCTTCACCTTTAGCTCTGGTTCAATTTCTGGGGCTGAGCTAGGGGAGGGCGCAACTTCATCTTGAGACAGAGAAGGCACTGCAGGTCTCTCAGATGAAGTGTCTTGAGTTTCACCATTTACTTCCTGTTCTGATGACAGACCAAGAATGTTTTTCTTTTGACGTAAGTTGTGGCTAGTTAGCGCATATGAATCCGGAGGAGGCAGTTGTTCATTAGATGACTCAAAACCTAAAAGTGGTGTTACAACACCTTTGAAACATGAACCACTTGATGTTCCTTTCAGTTTTGAAAGACCTGCTATTGCACTTTTGACAGGAGTTGCAGGCAATGATACATCCACAACATAATTCTCCGAAGATGACGAAGGTTCAAAGATTCCAGAATCAGGTAATTTAGAACCTCCTGGAGACAAAACTTGAGGAGCAGGTAAAGAAGCAGTAAGTTTTGTCTGAACAAAGGGCTGTGAAATATCTGCAACAATAACCAGAGGTGTTGACACTTGTGGAACAGTTGCAGTGCGAGAAATTGATCGTTTTAAGGCTGGCGTTCCTGCGGCAAGGCCAGTGGTTGAGTGAACACTTGGCTCCAGCTCTTTTCCTTTGGTTCCACCAGGCTTTCCCTGCATTTCCATACGGTGTCTTTTCTTAGGGGTTGTAATAACAGATCTGGGTGCCAAATTTGCAGAGCCCACATCAGATGAATATTTACTGATGCAAGCTTCAATAGCCTCATCATATGAATTTCTAAGTAATTTAGAATCAGAAGTTGAACCTGAACTGTTACTCTTATGGCTAGTAACTGATTCAACCTCAAAATTTGAGGAAACAATTGAGGATAACACTGAACTCTTGCTGCCGGGTGTAGAAGACAGTGAGCTGTATTCTTGATTGGCTGAACTGTTGGAACTTTCTGGATGGTCAGCAGCAAGTCCTGGAGAGGACTTTAGCAGCAAACTACTATCGGCAATTGATTTTATGGTAGCTGGCCCAGGAATTGGTTTAACAGATGAAGAATTATTTTTGGATGTTGATGCTTTTAGACTAGAAGTGTTGGGTTTGTTGAGAGCCTCAGAAGAAAGCTGAAGAGGCTTTGATGGCACTGCACTGAAGTTTGATGGCACAGGACTTTTAGAACTTAACGTTGAGCTTGTTTCCTCTGCCGAATTCCTAGTGCATGAGGAGGTATTGCTGTAACATCTGTTTAAACACAGAACTGGAGATGTGGTAGAAGTATAGCTATTCTCAATATTCAGTGGAGGAATGTGAGCAGGAATATGTTCAGATTTTCCACTAACGCTGGCAAAAGTGGCAGAGGAATCAGCTTTCCTCAATAAGCTTGGTTCATCATTTGACAATGGGCTGCTACTAGTAGCTGGCATAACAACTGTTTCCTTGTTAGAGGTATTGGCACCAGGGGATATGTTTCCTTTCACTGGGCAAATCCTGCTAACAATATTGCAAACAGAAGAGCTAACAGCTTTGCTGGAACAAGGCATCACATCACAGGGAGCAGAACTCAACATGCTTAATGTTGTAGTTGCCTTGACCGGAAGGTTTGGAGTGCTTAGAGATGTATTACCCCGACTTCCTTGACTTGTTACACTTATCATGCTCGTTTTACTGCTTATGCTTGAGGTGGGACTGTCATCATTGTTGCTCCTTTTTTCTTCCGCAGATGAGCTTATATCCAGTGATAGTTCTGGTGATGAAGTAAGGCCACTTTGTTGGTTTGGAGCTGTCGACATGTGATAGTGTCTCTTCTTGAGAGGAAGTCTTTGCTCGTTATTTGCTTCTGGCCTTTGACCCTAAATTCATAGAATAAGATGATAAAAAAATATTACATTAATCAACTTTGAAAAAATTGCAAGCCTTCAAACTTTGCAAACTGTTAAAATAAACTTACCTTTGGAGTTTCAACTGTACTCTTCTTTGGACGTCTCTTTCCACCAGAGCTTCCCTTATCTCGGGTATCACGTGCAGCAGGTGTCACAGGTGGAGGATTTTCTATCTCAGGCCCAGAGTCCCGATCACTGTTCCTCGAACGTTCACTTCCCTTTTTCTTCTTTCCTATTCTTTTGAGTCGAAATATTGAGGGTAATCTGGTTCCTTCAGTCAACCTGCAAATGTCATAAAAAGGTTGGATTTGGCTTAATGTTTCTATGTGCCTACTGAGATACCATGAGCACTGAGCATTTGCTATACCTGGATGGTTGCTGAATGCGAGCTATGCAGCAAGAGCGCTGAAATTCTGCAATGAGCTTCTCAAGTTCATGTAAAAAGTTTGGGTCAATAAAGCTTGAGCGGTTTGAATGCTTTCTGTGTTCAGATCTACTTGAATGTTTTTTATGCTCTTTTCGGCGATGATGCTTCTTAAGCTTGTGGTGCACTGGTTTAAGACCTCTTGGCAGGGCAACCACCTTCTGGGGAAAAAGAGAGGAAACGGGGATATGTTAAAAATATTGATTATCTTAACTTTTAGAAAACAAAAACAAAAGCAAACCAACACATTTTTTACACTAACCTCTGATGGGCGTTGTGTTTTTGTAGGACAAACTGCAGAAGAGGAGGGTGCATTAGAAGTCAGATTGGAAGAATCTGATTTCATACACAATGATGATGTAGACGACAGTAATGCAGCAGCTGCAGCAGCTAAACGGGCTGCTTCTCCCCTTCCTATTCCCTTCTTTTTCTTGTCACCACAATTTTGAGGTACAACTTTGTGACCAAGTTTGCGTTTGGAAGATGACAACTGACTGCCCGGTACATGATTCTCTCGTTTACTATTTGATGACCTTTTCAATGGGCTCCCATCTTTGGAAGAACTCTTGGAAGATGATTTTGACTGGCCCACTGATCCATGCCCAAGGGCAATGTTCTCAACAGGTTTCTTGACACGATCACAGACTGTTTGCAAGGCCTCCAACTTCTTATGCAATTTTTCTTTATCCTGGCTCTTGTTGGGAGTTGGTTTTATTGTACTGGGTGATTTAGCTTGGCTACTCTTTGATCCTTGAGATGGTTGACTTTTCTTCTTTTTCTTAGTTTCTGATTGTCCAATTTGAGGAAATTCTGACTGGTCACACTGTACCCCTTGGCTTGTCACTTGAACTTCTCTACTCCTATGTGTTGAATAACTTAAAATTTTATCACAGCGTTCCACACTCTGATCTGAGCTTTCAGATTCCATCCTGTTAACCTGTTTTCTACTCTTAATTTGAGTATGATCCAAGGCATGAGGCTGTTTAGATGAAGATTTCACACCATAAGGCAGACAAGGTTCAAGAACAGGAGGAGCTTTCTTGGGTCTCCCACGCCCTCTTCTGGCTGGCACAGATAGCATAGGAGATGAGGATGATTCACCTTCAGAATCGTCAATAGAAAGAATAGGTGGCACCCGAGCATCTTTATAATGTTCAGGGCGGTTAGATACTTTTTTAGGAGATTTTGTACTGGACGTTGGCACAACTTTTATTGATGATGATGTGTGTTTCCTAGATTATAGACATAAAAATAAAAGAATGTTAAAGAAGACCAATAAAATGATAATAATAAGACAAACACCTAGCCTTTAGAGATACCTACCTTCTATGTTCTTGATTAACTTTGCCATGCGGTGGAGAAGGAAGGGCTTTCAACTGTGGAGGGTGTTGAGGTGAGTGAGCAGGTGAGGACTGATGCCATGGGGAAGGGGACCCATTAACACAGTATATACCACTGTCAGGGGAAACATTGCTCACAGAACAGTAAACTTCCAAATCAGGTGGACCCCCTCGGGCAGCACCAGACAACGTATTACTAGGGGGCAGTTTACCAGGATGTCCATGTTTCCGCCTCATTGCTTCTTTTTGAGCATAAGTGGTTCCTGCAAAAGGAAAAGCAGATTTAAGATTTAAAAGTGGCAACTTTGTTAGCAAGACTGAAACATAGCATTCTATTGCTGAAAATAGAGACCCACCACTCTTGATACTGTTTTGGGGTCCAGAAGAGCGGGCTTGTTCAATGCGGCGCTTCCCAGATAATCTCTCTGTGCTTTCAACAAATTTCTGGAGGAGATTTGACGAATAATGAGCTTGTCTTTTATCTCCATCATCACTTGAACCATCATTTTCAACATCTTCCTCATCGCCATCCTCAAGATCTGCAGCACATGGTCCTGATTTGACTTTAGACTCAACATGTATTCTTTGAATAGCATCGGTTACAACCTAGGAAAACAAAAATTATTAGAGAATTCCTTATACATAGTGCTGAAAATAATTTAATCTGTTATTTTGTAATTTTTTATTAACCTGATCAGGCAGTTCCACATCACTGCTAGAGTCGTTTATGGTAGATGTTTGTGTGGTTGAGCTTGAGATTGAAATAGATACTTTACGATCAGACTTCATGTTGGCAGTGTTTGGAAGGTCTTTGAAAGAACGAGAAGCTATACTGGATGAAGAAGAGGAAGTACCTCCTCCATGCAGTGTGGAAGATACTTCGTCAACCGAGTTCTGCAAAAGATTGAGGATTAAATAAAATCAAGATAAATTTACTTGAGGTGCAGCAACTTGCACTTAATAACAATTCAAAATAACCTCCATGGTAAAATTTGAAACGAACAAACATGGGCAAGGGTATTACTTTATTTGAGTCCACACTCAAATATGTCAGGCCATGCATCTGACACACTTAAGACTCAGACTCCACCTGTGGTACATGACAAACATTAAGATGCAAAGATCACTTTACCTTGTTGGAAGTTCTGTTCATCAGGGTATTGTTGTCCTTGCGACGCACATTTCGCAATGGAGATGGTTTCACAGGTACATCCTTTATTATTTTCTCCCTTAGCCTCTCATCATCTGACTCTTTTTTCACTTGAATTGGATTCTTCACTTTTTCTTGCCAATTCAACTCAACATGTTCCTCCTTGAAATGAGAGCTTTCTTTTGAACACTCTTTGTCATCCTCTTTTTTTGATAAACATTTTTTCCCCTCTGCTTTTTCTTCGTTTTTAATGGGTAATCCAAGATCTCTTTTTTCATCAATTTTCTCATTCTTAGACTTCACTCCCGCCTAAAATTTAAAAATTAAAAGAAAATACGTTTTGAAAGTGAAACAAAAATAAACAGGAAAGTTAAAAATATACTCACAACAAATTGTTGTTGCTCTTGTCCTGTAGACTGCTATAAATTTTTTCAGAAAATAAAACATTAATTATCAGTAGCATATGATTTTACAGCATGTAAAACAAAAATTAATAAGGCAAATTTTCAAAAAGGCAGTCATGAAAACCGCATCTCACCTTTTCAAAGTCACTTCCAGGGAACTGCTTTGATGATGAACTTTTGGATGAATGGCTGGATTCACTACTGTGTGATGAACAGGAACTGTCACTTGAGGCTGAATCTGAGTCTGAGTCATATGAGTTCTTGGAACTGCTTTCTGAATCCTTCACAAGGAAAGTGAAATCAAATGTTAATATTAGGGTAAACTTGAATGTAACAAAACACCATCACACCACTCACTTACCGAATCACTGGCTGAACCTTGAGCAGTTCCTGACTCAGAGTCGGCATCATCACCATCTGAGTTGGGTGAAGACGAGTCATTGTCACTGGATGACTCTTTCTCATCGTCATCGTCATCATCGTCGTCATCGTCATCGTCGTCCCCACTTTCACTGCCATTGTCTCCACCTTCACCATGACCACGATCACTTTCAGACCATACCATTGGGCCAGATGTTGGGAGAGATGTTGATGGTGATCCCTAAAATAGTGAAATACAGTATTTAATTTATGAAAAGGGCTGGAGGGGCACATTATAGGTACACAGACACTAAGGGTAAATAAATTTATCAAGGTACCTTGATTGCATCCATGTCAACTGTGGAGGGAAGGTCTTCAGGTTCTGAGTCTTCTGCAGGGCGATGTATGACAGCACTCCATGCTGAACTTGTTAAGATGTCCCCAGAAACAGGAGAGAACTAGAAGATGAGAGAAACACATTGATAATGTACTCTAAACTGTGCTTAACTAAGCTTAAACTAAAAGGAAATGATTGAAAAAATTCAAATAACAGCTGCTTACTTTTTTGACATCCACTGGAATGGATGTACTTGGCAAATTGCTCCTTTCCACATAGTGAATGTCCGAGTATGGTAACGACTTGTCGAGCTGTGGCATGCTATATAGCTCCATACAGCTCTTACAGGGGTATCATTTCCAACTGGAATGAGCAGAAATAAAATTTACGAACAAGCACTCTAATTAGAAGTTCACCATGAAAGCAAAAACTCAACCACAGTGTCAAAATTTACATCTTAAAAATACACGATTAAGTAATACAAAACTATGAGACTCAAAAACAGAAATTCTAGTCACGAGACGACTTTGGGCAGAAATAAATTTAAGAAGTGAGGCCTTTTACACTATGAAAATGTTTTGCACATAAACATTAGAATATTTTTGATCATAATAAAATGAAGGAGAAAATAAGCACCAACAACCAACAGTCATATGATTGTCATTACGATTCTTGAGTGACTAGACATGCTTGTGAAAGCAACTGATTAACCATAATAGACCAGTTGAACATTGAAGGTCCATTTAAAAAATGATGGACAAATTGTTAATAGGCAAGTGGCTACAACACATAAACATTGACAAAAGAAAGGGGGAATGGCAATAAACATAAGTATAAAGTAACAGAGGTGAGTAGAAAATTTTGCCAGGTACAAAATTGACGATTTTAGAAGAAATATTACGTGAGAATGTTTTGTATCAAGATTTGTTCAAAAGAAGACCAGGTTAATGAAACAATCTGCCCTTTGACTTGTGCCTTGAACCTTGTGTATAGGCTTGCAAGAAGGTTCCAAAAATGACATTTTCCACAAGCTGTAAGCGTGAAAGTGAGTAGCATGACAACAAACTAGTGACGAACCAGTTGTATATGAAATTCAAGTTCAACAATCTTCCAAAATTTCATTTGGCGGTAAAAATGTACAAAGCACAGACGCTCTGTTCACAACACGTCCAGAAGTATCACTGAACTTCTCATTTCCTCTTGATAGAGAAGGAAATGGGTCACATATCATTAATGCACTGCATCCGAAGGTAATTTAACCCTTCCAAGGAACAACAAACATAGATAACGCCCTCATGACACTCAAGACAGGTCGAAAGTTTCACTTCATTCTCTGTTATTTACCTAATTCATCTCCATTCTTCATAAACACCACCAAGCCTTCCAAAATGGCGGAGGCGGTCGGTTACGCACTTTCGTGTACTCAGTGATGCCAACCCCGCGCTGCTGCGAGGTGGCGCCACAGAGCAGAAAAGGCGGCACTTTCAAAGTGGAGATCGTGGAGATATGGAGATATTGTAACATCAGGAGACCTTTGAATACTGAAGAACCTACGACGCAGTCATCTGTTCCACATTTAAAATAGGTGTCATCCTTAAAGTGTCGGACTGAGGGAGAGTTGAAGTGAAAAGTATAACACAGCACATACATTGGTATTTATACTTGCAACATTTATTTTTGTTCATGATTGAGCCCTCAAACAATACAGATTAGAAATTTGCATTAAATACACATCCAATATGACATTAGACATGTGACCTTTTATACATGCTAAAGACAATCCTGCTTTCTGTATCACATGGATAAAAACTTTTATAAAAATCAGCAAGTAGTTGAGCTTGTGGTTCAGAAAGCAAAATTTATCACAAGGGTGGGTTGTTCTGTTTGGCTTTAAAAACTCTAGTTTATAAAAATTACAAATTTTACAGATGTATAAAAAGGAATGTTGACAGATATTATGCAGCTGCTAAAGGAAATTCAGATGAGCAAAAGAGACCAGACAGAAAATGTCAAATGCATAGAATCAGTCTTCCACCAAAATTATGAACTCAGTTTTTGATAGGAACAAGAGAACTTCTCTCTTTATAGTAGAGTGGGGTAGGTCCTGGGGGGTCCCCTGTCTAGAGGGTCCCCCCTGAATTTTTTACTATTTTT